CCCGCGCCACGACACCCACCTGCACGACCTTTGACCTCCCCGCACCTGCGTGACCTTTAACCTCCCCGCGCCACGACACCCACCTGCACGACCTTTGACCTCCCCGCACCTGCGTGACCTTTAACCTCCCCGCGCCACGACACCCACCTGCACGACCTTTGACCTCCCCGCACCTGCGTGACCTTTAACCTCCCCGCGCCACGACACCCACCTGCACGACCTTTGACCTCCCCGCACCTGCGCGACCTTTGACCTCCCACGCACCTGCGCGACCTTTGACCTCCCCACCACCAGGTCACCCACCTGCACAAACCGTGGCCTCCCCCGCACCCGCGTGACCTTTGACCTCCCCCCACCACCAGGTCACCCACCTGTATGATCTTCACCATCTCGTTGAGCTCGATCGTCCCGTTGCCGTCGACGTCGTACATGCGGAACGCCCACTTCAGCTTCTGCTCGGGCGTGCCGCTAGAGGTCACGTTGATCGCCAGCAGGAACTCCCGGAAGTCGATCGAGCCGGAGTTGTCCTGGTCGAAGGTGCGGAAGACGTGGTCGCAGAACGTCTCGGCGTTGCCCGACGGGAAGAACTGCTTGTAGACTTCCAGGAACTTTTTCCTCGTCAGTTGTCCGTTCGGGCAGTCTTGCTGTGAACGTGAGAGACGGATAGTTAGTGAGTGAGAGAGAGAGAGAGAGAGAGAGAGAGAGAGAGAGAGAGAGAAAGAGAGGGAGAGAGAGAGAGAGAGAGAGAATGAGAGAGACAGAGAGATATACAGAGATAGATAGATAGATAGATAGAGAGAGAGAGAGAGACCGAGAGAAAGAGCGAGCGAGAGAGAATGAGACAGAGAGATAGACAGAGATAGATATAGATAGGTATATCAACAGAGACCGAGAGAGAGAGAGAGACCGAGAGAGAGAGAGAAATATTGATACTGTTACGTTAGGTTAAACGTTGCTATATGACAGGCGGGTGAGAAGCAGTTAGGTGGCCGCTCATCAAAGCTCCAAAGCCACTACGCCTACTTCACCTAAGCCGAATGAAGTTGACTCCTAACCCACACAGCCTAAAGCTATAAAGCCCAAAGCTATTCATCCTTAAGCCACTAACCATTAAGCCAAAAAGCTTAATCAATTCATCATTAAGCCATCAAACCTTAGACCATTAATCTTTAAACCATTATGCCTTAGACCAGTAAACCGTATATCATTAATAATCTTTAAGCTAAAATGCGTTCAGCCATTAAGCCTTGCGTCATTAATCCTTAAGCGATTTGCCCTTCAGCCATTAAGCCTTGCGTCATTAATCCTTAAGCGATTTGCCCGTCAGCCATTAAGCATAAAACCGCCATCAGGTTTTATCAGATGTCTGGCAGGCACGGCGACTATTGCATGGCGGAATCGGTGTACGGCGGGGGAAGGTTGGCGCAAGAGAGGAGGCTGGGAGAGGAGGCTGGGAGAGGAGGCTGGGAGAGGAGGCTGGGAGAGGAGGCTGGGAGAGGAGGCTGGGAGAGGAGGCTGGGCGAGGAGGCTGGGCGAGGAGGCTGGGAGAGGAGGCTGGGAGAGGAGGCTGGGAGAGGAGGCTGGGAGAGGAGGCTGAGAAAGGAGGCTGCGGATGGAGGCTGAGAGAGGAGGCTGCGGATGGAGGCTGAGAGAGGAGGCTGCGGAGAGGAGGCTGTGAGAGGAGGCTGGGAGAGGAGGCTGAAAGAGGCTGAGAGAGGAGGCTGGGCGAGGAGGCTGGGAGAGGAGGCTGGGAGAGGAGGCTGGGAGAGGAGGCTGAGAGAGGAAGCTGGGCGAGGAAGCTGTGAGAGTGCCATAAAGCGCCGAGGCGTCGTACAAAAACATGTTTTTGTCGGGAAACAAATGCCTTCGTCAATCATCGGCTGTGTCACGGTTCGTGACACCATCAATCATTACTGCGAGAGAGCGAGAGAGAGAGAGAAGAGGGAGAGAGAGAGTAAAGACGAGAGGATGAGGATGGAGAGAGGAGAGAGAGAGGAGAGGAGAGGAGAGAAAAGTGAAAGGCGAGAGAGAAGAGAGAAGAGACGAGAGAGAAGAGAGAGAGAGAGAGAGAGAGAGAGAGATAAGAGAGACAAAGAGAGAGAGAGAGAGGAGGAGAGAGAGAGAGAGAGAGAGGAGAGAGAGGGAGGAGAGAGAAGAGGAGTGAGAGAGAGAGAGAGGAGCAGCAGAGAGAAGAAGAGAGGAGACAAAGAGCAGAGAGAGCGAGAAGATAGAGAAGAGATAGACGAAAGAGCGAGCAGAGGGCAAAGAAGGAGAGAGAGAGAGAGGAGAGTGAGAGAGAGAAGATAGAGGACTGAGAGAAGACGAGAGAGAGAGGAAAAAGAGTCGAGACATAAGAGAGAGAGAGAGAGAGCGAGTGAGGAGATAGGAGAGAGACACAAAGAGAGAGAGAGACGAGAGAGAGATGCACGAGATGGAGAGAGAGAGAGAGAGACGGGAAGAGAGAGAGGAGGAGAGATGAGAGAGAGTGAGGAGAGAGAGGAGGGAATGATGAGAGAGAGAGAGAGAGAGAAACAGAGAGAGACAACAGAGAATGAAGAGAAGAGCAAAAGAGAGAGAGAGAGATGAATCGGGCCGAGCGAGATAGAACAAGGAGATGGACGAGGAGTCGATCGGAAAGAAGAGAGAGAGAGAGCGAGGAGAGAAGGGAGAGGAGAGAGACGAGAGAGAGAAGAGAGCAGATGAGGAGAGAGAGAGGAGAGAGAGATAGAGACAAAGATAGGAGAGATAGGCGGCGAGACAAGATGCGTGCGGAATGACGAATGAACGTTAAAAAACGCGCGCGGGGAGCACCGAGCGCTTCTGCGAAATAACAGCATCTCATCGTTGATGCACATGGGAAGCAGTCCGCCGATGCTTCCCTGAAGCCCGCCCGCAATGACGTCTTCATCACCGGCCGCGCCGCCTGCCTGCCGCTACATTCAGAGGCGGGAGGGAGGAGGTGAGAGGCGGAGGGAGGAGCCGGTGAGAGGCGGCCAGGGAGGAGGTGAGAGGCGGCAGGGGAGGAAAAGGTGAGAGGCAGGAAGAGGGATGTGAGGGGGGACGGACGGATGCGTGAGAGGCGCAGGGAGGGAGGAGGTGAGAGGTGTGAGGAAGGAGGCTGTAGAGGGTGGGAGGGAGGAGGTGAGAGGTGGGAGGCGAGGAGGTGAGAGCGGGAGGGAGGAGGTGAGAGTGTGGAGGGAGGAGCGTGAGAGGCGGCAGGGAGGAGGGTGAGAGTCCGGAGGTGAGGAGGTGAGAGGCGGGAGGGAGGAGCGTGAGAGGCGGCAGGGAGGATGGAGGTGAGGGGCTGCGGAGCGAGCAGCATTTCGTGAGGGCGGCGAGGAGAAGGTATGAGAAGCGGGAGGGAAGAGTCGTGAGAGCGCCCGGGATGGGAGGAGGTGCAGAGGCGGGGAGGGAGCGAGGTGAGAGGCGGGGAGTGAGGAGGAAGTGTGAGAGGCGGCGGGGAGGAGGTGAGAAGCGGAGGCAGCTATCGGAGCGGTGAATTACCGAGCACGCGGAAAAAAACACGGAAAAAACTCGATTAACACTACCAGAGCCGAGTTTCACGCCGACAGTTTCTCTGTTCTTGTTCTGTCTCTCTTCTCTCTCTCTCTCTCTCTCTCTTCTCTCTCTCCAGCTCTCTCTCTTCTCTCTCTCTTTCTTCTCTCTCTCTCTCTCTTCTCTTTCGTCTGTCTGTCTCACCCCTCCTCTCTCTCTGCATTGTCTCTCTCTCTCTCATTCTCTCGCCTTCTCTCTCTCGTTTCTCGCATTATCTATCTATTCTATATATCTATTCTATTTCTATCTATATCACTCTCTACTTTTTCCTCTTCTCTTTTCCGCGCGCGTCGCGCTTCTCTCTCTTCTTTCTCGCTCTCTTTGTCCCTTCCTCTCTCTGTCTCTCTCTCTTCTCTCACTCTTTGTCCCCCCTCTCTTCTCTCTCTCTCTCTCTCTCACTCTTTGTCCCCCCTCTCTCCTGTCTCTCTCTCTCTCGACTCTCTCTTCCCTTTCTTCGCCCGAGTTTTCAATTAGATTCGGGTCGCGCTCGTGATCGCTCAATGTTCTTACGCTATTATTGGACTATAAGACTATGGACGGAAGTATCTGTGTATGTCAATATTGACGCAGTGTTTAATTCTCACTTGCGCGTCGCAGCACGCAACACGCACTGCACGCACGCACTGCACGCCACGCACGCCTACGCCCACGCGAACGTTATTACTACGCAATCACACGCACACGCACGCACGCACGCACGCACGCACGCAGGTATTACAATCGCAATGACACGCACACGGCACGCATCGCGCAATCGCACTACGCCGCACGTACACTCGCGAGCGCACGCACGCACGCACAGCACGTCACGCATGTACTACCACGCAAACACACACACACGCCACACCACGCACGCACGCACGCCACGCACGCACACACACACACATACAACACGCACCTGCACTTGAATATGGAATTCAGCCATATACCCGTGTATACGTGTACATCGCACGCACGCACGCACGCACGCACGCATCGCTCACGCTACTCTATCACACACACACGACACATCACACCACACACACACACTACATTACACAGCACAGACACGAACACATCACACACTACATCTTTTACACACATCACATATCACACACACCGCATCGTTCGGTTCGTTATTTTTGTCATGTCATTACGCCTTGAATTAATGTTAATTATTGTATTGACCCTAATCGAGAGTCGTGCTCGACAATTGCGGCGCACTTTCGAAACCCCATTCGACTGCAGCACGCCTGCGAAATATTCATCTCCCAGGTGTATATATACATACACACATACTAACTATATATACACACACACATTATACATTACACACATACAATAATATATATACACCACTGCTGACAACTACATATATATATATATATCGGGGCGATGCACGACGACCTGTTTTACAGATAATGGCTAATTTATTCAGCGTTCACCCGAGTTATATATTCTCCCTGCGGGACGGACGCATAGCGTACCACACGGGCAGGGATGAGTGACACACACGCACGCACACACGCACCGCACGCACGCGTTTTTACGCACAGTGGGGCTGCATTAGCACGCCGCACCGGTGGTGTTGGTAGTTAGTAATTAGCTCCTTTCCGTGTGTATATTTCTCTATCCCCCATTTTATAGCCCACAATGCCATACTCACTATCTGCATCGCACACACGTGCACACGCACCACACGCAACGCACTCACACCTCACGCACACACTGGCACCACGCATCACACTCCACACACGTCACTACAAATGCCTACACTACGCACTATCCTTCTCCCATCACTTATGTCGGCTCTCAATAGGGACAGGATCATCTTTCATCACCGGTTCTCTCTGCTTCTCTCTCGCAGTTACTCCACGCGGCGACCGTGCGGGCAACACTAATCAGGCTCCCCCTCCTCCTCTTCCCCTCCCGCCTCCCCATCCTCTCGTTGTCTTTCTGGTCCTGACGCCCTTCGCCTTCGCTTTATCCGTCTTTCCCCTCATTAATCCTTCGCCCATTCCCCTTGTCCACTGCATCCCTCTCCACTCTCGTTCCTCTCACCTTCCCTCCGTCCGTCCTTTCCTTCCTTCTTCCTCTCTCTCCCCCCCGC